TACCCGCTCATAACTGGGTCTGCGTGAGGAGCGGGGTGCATTATCGATCGTTCGACCATCGCCAACGACAACACCCATCGTGTGTCCCACGGAGTTTGTGAAACACCTGTGCCTTGCATGTGAGTCGGCTTACAGTGAGACAGACTTGCGCGGCATCTACCGCACCCCTTCTTTTCTTAACCACTTTGTTTTGGTGGCAAGACCGTGCAAAAACGACCGGAATTGAACTCAGGCGCAGTGGCTGGTAAAAATGAACAACGCGCATACGCATGCCACAGGATCTGGCTCTCATAGCACGCACAAGGCTTTCTTCAAGTGATAGTGCCATGGTGGCGACATTAAGGAGAAGTCATTGAGCCTGAGAAGGACTGAGCTATCCCTTCAGTTGACGGTCTCCCAAGCTACGACTGTTAGTGGGTCGTGATAGATTCAAAGGGGTGCGTTGGTGTGCCGTAACGATAGACTCCCCAGTGTCAGCCTCCCTCTCTATTTCTCTCTCTCTATCTCTCTCGTACTATCTACCTCGCACTAGTTGACCGTTTGGGGCTGTCAACCTCCTCGTGACGGGACTGGGTTCAGTGACTGACGAGGCGCAATGATCACATGTAAAGCACGACACCGCACCCCTATGTACGGCAGTAGCTGTAAACACGCGCGATCTTTGCGCAGCCTGATGAACGCGTGTCGTGAGTCAACCTGACTCCCATCTTGGTCTATCACATCTATAGTGCCAACCGTCATTAGGAGCCGCGGGTAGATTTCCACCCACCGGCCGGTCTCTGAGTATTGATTCGGCAATGCAGACGTGAGTACTGTCAAGTAGAGGCAATGACATCTAGCCACAGCGGGTTAGGCTTAACCGAATATAAATGGCACAAAATAGAAGGGCCCCCTTTAAACTACGACCTCCCATAAAGAAGAAGAGATAGGAAGGAGTTTCCGCCTCATTAGAGGGTGCATCACGGGGGACTTAGCATAAAAAAGACTGAACTTTGAATGTCCGTCCCTCAACGAGTTAAATACAAAAAAAGTTGGAGTGAAATAAGTGACCCAGGATAGATGCTCAGAAACTGTGTAACTTTAGCCTCCGATCAGTGTAGGGACAAAAGTCAGACGTTGGTTCTGATTTCAATCGTTAATTGCCTATGCCAAGGCCTTGTCCAAATTCATGGCGCAAAGAAGCTATAACGACACAAGAAGACTCAATCTCTTTCTACAATACCATGGAGAGTAGTCACACATGATTGGAAGTCTAGTTGGGTGCCACTTGCGTGGAGCTACGACGATATGTGCCTGCGTTAGTTTTGATGAAATGGTCGTTTTCAAAAAAGCACAACAGCATCTGTACAACCGTTAAAGGAGGTCAGGAAGAAATCCGAAATTGCTCACAGTAAAAAGTTTGTTAATCTCTCCCACTTTTTCCAGCGATGACGTGGTTTTGGTAGACTCGAAATTTTCGAAATTATGCTAATGCCTAATAGTACATGCACAAATAAGCAGCATTTTGTTCAATTCAAAACGCAGTGGCTACTAATCATACCACCATGGGAGACACTAGTGACCCATTGAAATAGCCAAGAGAAATGCCAGGACACTTTTGTCCTGATCTCGAAATCAACTTCAGTAGTATTTTGAAAGTTCCTGAATAAAGCTGCTTCGGAGGGCGGAAAACAAAACAATAGAACAAAATTAAACAAAGGCGTTAAAGCCAGACCTTTCATTCTTCCGCCGGTGAGAAGACGGATGGAAAAACGACTGCCGAAGCCGTCGGAATGTGCGCTCAGATGGTTCCCGGTGTCTTTAACGTTAGTACCGGGGTTTCGGAAGGAACCGAATAAACGCCAGAGATCCTCCTCTGACACAGATTTGGCCAGATTCTTTATGTACAGGCGCGAGGACGGAACTCCTGGCTCCGATGAAGACTTGGAGAAGACTGGATTTTCTGATAGTTCGTCGGCTGGGACCCTGTCAGCTTCCAGTTGCGCAATCGTCAGGAAGTCAATGTCCCAGTACTCATGTGTAGAGCACAGCGGAGGTTCCTGGTACGTAGAGGCCGGAGGGTTCGAGGGGGCGCGGTCCACTCCGCCGGAAACTGAAAATTTTTACACGGTGTCAGAATTAGTTGTCAAACAAGGAGAATTCATAAACAGGCTGTTTTAATAGATAACAAAACAATGGCTAAGCCCAGACATATAGAACAGTCTCGTACCTCTGTTTGGTTGTAAATCAACATCACCTTTTGTAACTAATTTTTTTGAGTTCAGGTGCGTCGGCCAGTCTTACGGTAAATACAGCGGAGTGCATTTCGCAGACGAAATGCCCATACTTTCTCTCACTAAACATGCATAGGTCCAGTAGATAGATGGACATGTCCGTCGACGGCAGGGGTTGAAGTACAACAACCTGCCGGCAGCGAGAGAGGTGAAGCCAACAGGCATCGTCCCAAGTCAGTCAGCTGCGAGTAGGGCTGAATCAGTTAGTTTCGCCACGTAACAACGAAGAAGAAGGGCGCTTCTGAGGAATCGTATAGTACTGACTTCTATGAGTAGTAGGACAAAACCAAAAAGCTAGCTCAGTACTGACGAAACTGTCGTCTGACTGTAGGCTGAAGGAGATGCTTGTATCTACTAGTGACAGTGCAACTGTCACGAGCGATGACTTCAACCGGGTGCCCATAAAGTGGGAGCAGCACCGGTGAAATACGTGTGAAGTAATTTAAAGTGAGACGGACTTGCACGACATCTATCGCACTCTCTCATCCCACACTCACCTTGCACTGATGGCGTAATAATGTCAAAATCACCGGAGGTGGACGCGGGCGCAGTTGCTGACACTGCTAAACAGCTCGTCACGTGTGCTGTACACCATCTGGTCCCTATTGGATGTACCGGGCTACTGTAAAGGCGTCTCTGGTCTCAAATAGGTGGAAATGTCATAAAGATCGTACTGAGAAGAAGCCACTACAGCCTGACTGTCAGTCCTCCAGTCACTCTACTATACTCAAGTAGGGACTCTGCTTTACCTGGACTGAGGCCACCTTTGATATTGAGGGTTTGGGAGCTAAAGAGATTGAACGAGTGGGATCGTGTTCATCGCTACGTACTTTATCATCAGTAATGCATTGCTACACCTTATATTTGATTTAACTGACTGTTTAAGGTTGAAGGTAAGCGTTTATATGCTATTCCTGTGAGCTATGTCCTGATTTCTAGATGAATCCTTTGACAACGGCCGACAAGACAACCTCGAGAAGAGAAACCCCCACGTAATGTTGCGTTTTTAGTTTGCCTTTTTCCGAAAGCATTTCGTCATTAGGTCAGCTTTCAGACAGGTTATGCTAGCCAAAAGCGCCCATACCCACTAACTCACATATACACAAGAGGTTCACAATACCAGCCACCATCTGTTAAAAATGTCTTACCTTCCTCGCAGGTAGACCGCGTCTGGCCTGCTGCCTGAGGTGACTGTGGTTGTCCTTCAGTAGAGGATCGGAAGGAGAAAACTCCAAAGCCGGCAGAGGCGGTCGGGGAATTTGGTGCAAGTGATCTGATCGAGTTTTCGGGGTCAGTAGTAGGAACAGGCGTGGGTCCAGATACATTAATAGCGATGCGCACAGGGCCCCGGAAAGGTCGGTCAGCGTCCCCGAAGATGGCTACAGGGCTCGTCGGAGGGGCAGTTTCAACTGGTTCTAACCGTGCTGACTGCAGTTCACGGGCCAGAGGTCGTAATTCACGACCCTTAATATCCAGGCGTTTTTCCGTCCGTACGAGAAGACCCTTGGGTAGTTTTGTATGAGGACGATGTTGTAAGGGCCGGGGTGGGCCTGACCTGGTTGCAGAACTCGTTCTCTTTTGTTCATCATCTAAATCAAAATAAAGAAAACACCGGGAAGAAGAATACCGGACTCAAGCTCGCTTTCGGGGCCGCTAGAAACCTCCATCTCTTCGTGGCTTCCTGTTAAAGCCTGTTCCTTGTCGACAGAAAACGGCGCATGGGTTTCGAGGGGTCGGGAAACGGTTTTCTCGTCCACTACCTTTAAGGAGCCAGGGAACTCAGCCGGTTCACAGAAGGGAGGTGGAAAGTTGAATCGGTTCATCAGATGAAGAACCTATGAAATAAGCAAAGTACAATAAGTTAGGGGCACGCCAATAAAGAAGAGTCAACCCCCACTAGCAGCATCGATTTCCTAACTAAGATAGAAATAACCAGCAGATGCAAAGCGGGAAATAGTCGCAGTAAGACTAGCTTATAAAATCGCAAGGCGGAACTTCCGAAGATTGGGTTGTTCACGGGGGTTTTAGTAATAGGGGACCAACTTCAAATGAAGAAAAAGGACTAGAGGGCCAGTACAACGGTTTCTTGCTCTACTATACAATAACTTTTACACACGGTTTCAAGGGTGTGGGGAACACGAGAAAAGTGGTTAAAATTCAATATGAGACAGTAAGGCCTGCATCTCGCTAAGGTCAAAATAAGGCTAAAGACAAAGACGACTGCAAATATTAGTTGTCCGTAGAGTTGAAATGAACGATAGCTCGTGTTTCAACTTTTACTTCATTCGGAATGTAAGAGAGGAACTTACCTCGACCTAATCCGCCATGCTAACATAAGAACTTAAGTCAAGGAAACTTAATGAATCTTGAAAACACGGAGACAGTAATGACGGTGAACAAATTCATAAACAAGTACTAATACAAACGTTGGTCGATAAGGATACAATGTGAGCGCCAGGCTTGGATTTGCCAATGAAGATGATTCGGGTTGGCGAACTCCGACCCCTGAATGAAGTAATGATAGGAAGACGGGACCACTTGATCAAACAGAGGCTCAAAGAGGCAATACTAGGCGCTGAAATTCCAGTCAAAAGCTTCAAAAAGTGAGAATTCAACCTATTTGCCGTCAGTCGAGCAGACAAATGGGAATTCATAGCACCCACGTTGGGTTCGCTCAAGACAGACAGTAAACGCTCCCAGTAAGCAAAAACTGACTGGTGATGATGAGTGGTACAATTATCTCGAATGGGTGTATAAGCGTACTCGCACTGGTCGTTCTGAGTGGTTAACGCGTTATCATGGTGAAGACTTATTATGTACACACATTATTCAGTGAGTTCGTTTTAAAAAGACATAGCGAGACTAATCGTAGGGAAAGAAGTATCTAACAAACTTTAGTTGGCGAACCAAAAGAATGGTAATTTAATATGAAGAAAACTTCCCACTCAATTCAGTTTTATTGTAATGCAGCGGGCGTAAGGAAATGGGGGTTTATGGCATCATGGGGGACGTAAACTTATCTATAAATAAGTGCTGCCGGTGGATCGTAGGGTAAGATAGCTTCCAAATGCCGAACCCAGAAAGCGTTTCGCGTTTTTCGTAGAAAACGAAGCCCGTTAAGCGGTGTCTAAAAAACGTTTTCAGCTTGCAGCACATCCAGTAGAACGAAACCTTCTTGTGGCATGCTACTTGTGACTATAACACTTTCCAGGCGGGGGAAGGTCGCCAGCTTAGTTGTCTTCAACCACACGCGTATTAGTAAGTCAGTGGATGACAAGCGCCCATACGCGAGCACAGCGTCAAACGCTGGTGCATAAACCATCACTTGTCGTACAGTTTGATGAAAAATGTAGAAAAGTAGTAGAAGTAGGAAACATCTAAATACAAATCGAAAATGCTTTTGGCACGCTAGTTAGTAACGGCAAACAACTTCTAGCATACATGACTACCAGCTCAATAAGCGGAAAAAGGAATCCAATAGTCGAGGAAAGATACCTCGAATTAAACAGCTATGCAAGTTCAAGCTTGCGCAAATAACTCGAAGATGAAAGATACCTGGATATAGAAGTTCGGCACTGCCTTCATACAACGCACAATGTTCGTGAGGATTTCGGTGGATGCTTTAGGGTACGAATAAAGCGATTCTTTCCAGGTGTGCATTGGAAGCCAGCGAGGAGAGATTGACAACAGTTGATTAACCCATTCATTCTGACTGAGATCCAAGTTCATATTCTGGGAGTCGTTTGTGTTTTGTGGAGAGGTTTCCACTTCCGAAAAGCTAGTAAATTAAGAAATCAAGTTGTGACAGACCATGAACGAACACGAGCGAACTCGACAGATATTCGTGTACCAAGAAGGTTAAACTGATGCAATGACTTAACAATCTTCCAGCAGTCGCTAGAGGAGCTAAATTCTGCAAAGGCCCTTCGCTGAAACAGAATATATAAAACCCGCCACAGTTACTGTTCTCAAGCGACCATTCGGAGGCAGAGGCTCAGTGTTTATGGCCCCCAGCCTTTTAAGGAAGTTGGAAATATCGTTATCTTCGAGAACGGAGGGCAAATTTTTAAAGAAGAGAACGCAATCATCACGAAATGCCTGTTCACTGAATTTCATTTGGGGAAGCTTTTAGGGCAACAGCAACCATTCAGGAGTCAGATGCATTTCAAAATTTCCGGGACGATGTTCAAGGTTGTAAGGTCTAGAACAGGGAGCGAGGGCTGATTCCTCAATGCTGGGTTTGTCGCTATGCTGACACCCCAGAGAAAGATAATGAGGCATTTTGCGAAAATACAAAAGGGCGGGAGCAAATGTTGAGAAGCAAAAGAAAGTTGGCTGAGAGAAGACCAACGGACCGCAACAAACGTACAAGGACTCGAACAGAACGAACCGGTGGCTTAAATCATCAAAGAACCACATAGGATGTCGAAAGACAAATAAACACGCAAATGTGCGAACCTAGAAAGCAGAAGAGATAAGAGAGAAAGGGCACAGGAGTTAGAATAAAATACGGGGCGAACAGTTTAAAAATGTTACTATATCATTTCAGAAACGCTTGTTTTTATAATTATCCCAAGTCCGTTAAATGTGAGTGTTTTTAAGCACTTGGAAGAACTATTTTATCTGACTAGTTTTGAAGATTCCGCCAATCTGAAAAAAAGTCTGTAGCTGTTCGATGTTTCCGTTTTCAAATTTCTGATATAATTCGCTTCCATTTAACAAAAGGGGAGTTCAAAGTTCCAACACGTATGTTTCCTTCAAATAAACTGAAACCGAATGCAGCAAAATAGATAAAAACAGTAAAAATGCACAGAGGATCGACGTCTTGCTTAGATCCCACCTCTTATATTTTTTTCTAATCATGGCTGAATAAAGCCGCACCCACACTGGCAGCGTCAGGCCAGTGTTTGCTCGAAGAATAATCTATTATGTAGCTTATTTAATGAGGACGATGGACAACGTTTAGCTCTTCTAGCTGAACAGCTTTTCTTGAGTTGATGCGAGTGCACTGATATCTGAAAAAAACGCGGTTATCAGTGTGCGTCGAATGGTCAGGGTTGTCCAAATATGACAAAGGCCAAATTTTTCCAACACTTACCAACAGATAAATTGGGTCTCTAGAGTATAAAAACTGAACCAGATCAAATATTTGGGCTGTTACTCAGTTACTGAACTGTGACGGGTTCCTTATGAAAGTTAAGGGAAGACCATACATAATTTACTTGTTCGTACATAATTTACTGGCTACTTACTGTGTCTTAACAACCTCCAACGTCTGCTATTCGTTGTTATATTTACTGGTAGCATGTTCTGTGGCGATGATCTTCGCGGCCATCAGTGCTCTTTCTTGTTTCGAGCATAAGCGAATTGTCAATAGAAGCGAAAAGACGAATCCCAGGAAGCAGTCTTGAAGAAGAAGAAGACACGATCGCCGGGACAAGAGCTTTATTAGCCTGACGTTTCGGATTCCTGCTCGAATCCATCATCAGAGACATAAGCAGATAAGGGTGGTTCATGCACACGTGGCTGCAGTATTTATAGGATGCAGTAGCCATGCCACCGCATACCTATGAATGTTCACGGCTCCCTCCCCTTCATCAGGGATCGTTGCACGTGTGCATGAACCACCCTTATCTGCTTATGTCTCTGATGATGGATTCGAGCAGGAATCCGAAACGTCAGACTAATAAAGCTCTTGTCCCGGCGATCGTGTCTTCTTCTTCAATAAGCGAATTGTGGCTGCTCGCGGTGGGTTCCTCTTTCTCACCACCCCTAGTCTGTTTCTGCACTCAGGCGAGCAATGTTATAACCGCATCTACAGCACTCGGCGGGGTCTCTTTTGGCTTATGAGTTCTACTTCGACTAGGCATGTTAATAACTCTCCTAAGCTCTCATTATAATGGCTATCATGTCTCACACGCGTATTTTTACACCACAGGCGACAGTTGTTACTACACAAAAACTGCCTGATTATAGTTTTCTTATATGCGTTCGGCAAATTATTCAAGGTGTTTCTTCACTGTTAATTCCGATCCGTTTCTCGCTGCATCACTATATTCCTTTAAGACGACAATGGGCGAGCTTCCGATCCAACAGTCGACGTACACGACTGATTCTTTGGTCTGAAATCTATTCGTGAGTGGTTTTTAAAATTTATGTTGGCACTGCTCACATGGCCGCCGAATAAATCGATGATAATGGTTAATTTATTATCCGCAGAGCCAGCAATTCACCTTATATCTATTCCAGTGGCGACAATTAAGACATACAGCCTGTCTTTGGAATGGAAAATGGTCAACGTAGCTCCTTCATATGTGGGAAGTAGCCGGATGATTGCAGGCAACTTTAAACCAATAAGTCTGACTTGTCTTTTTGCGAGACAACCAGAGTCCCTGTAAAACCGGTCATGATAAAATTACAAGACGAAATGGACATACTTCAGAAATGTTAATATGGTTTTCTGCGACAAAAATTTCTGTCTCACAAATCTTCTCACTTCTCCGGAGGTACTGACTAAAGCTCTGTAAGAGGGCATCGCAGTAGATGTAGTATACAGCAGTTTTTGCAAAGCCGTCGATAGTGCCACACATCATTGTCGTTTGCAGAAGAAAAACACCTTAAGTGGACGAGGCTGTTCCTGGTTGACCAAGACAAAACGCACATTTAGGAAAAGATCAACAAGACTAGGTGAGCATAATTATTGTTATTCTTCAGGGCTCAGTTCTCGGTTCTTACTATCTATTCCCAATGTCCAAAACAACCCTTATGAATTTGCCCTGCCTGCTGAATCAGGTTTGCGGGTAACTTTACGCTCTGGTACGTAATCTAGGGCCCGAATGACTAGAGATAACTTGCCCCAACTGCAGACCCAGTCTGTGCGATGAACGTTTGCTTTCAATGAAAGAAAGCGCGCCGTCCTCCATTTGTGTTCGATTAACTACTACCAAGAAGACAGAATCAGACAAAATTAATTGGAAGATACTGAGCTTTCACGACATCTTTACAAAGAGATCTTGGGCTTTGGATAATGGGAAATTTGAAACCACCATGAATATTTCTGAGGGCTGGGAAAAATGTCATGTGGGTACCAAAGGCTATCGAAAGGACGTACGTAAATCTCGATTGGGGTCTTTTTGGGAAAGTGTGCGACACCTTCGTCCGCATCCAACTGGAATATTGCCTTAAGGCGCGAAAACTATGGCTCGCAAATAACAAAAATGTCTTGAGAAAGTGTAACGTCAAGCGACAAAGTTGGAAAATTTTTTTCCACCGATTGTACTCAGAATAACTGATGTGCTTTTATCTCTTCTCTGTTTGCTGCGGCAGCAAAGATAATGTGTGTCATCGACCAAGCAATGTATTTTAAGGACATATTTAAGTGGTACCTGTCGCCTCACTTCCGTGAGCACCTAGTAGATCTGCACATAATTACTTCACTCTCCGGTTATTAGGTCGGCGGTACTGTCACTCCGAATTGCTTGTGGGGGCGAGTTCACTGCAGCTCCGTAAGAAAATATGCGATGATTTTATGTTTCCCGCAAATCCCGTCAACTCAGTGATCCTGAACCAGGGACCACATCGTAATTATGCAGAAACTTACCTCTAAACAATGCTACATATGTTTAGTTAATATTTTTTCCTAGTGATATATTTGGGAACTCATGCATAGTGACAGTTCGACCATCGTTTTCGATGATGTCCACCGTGTGCATAGTAATTGCCAACAACGATCTCAAAATCAGCCGAGTAACCTGCTCTACTAAGGAGGCTGAACAATCGCAGACTCTGATCTGCTTAGGGTCCACTGACTAAAACGAGACCTCTTATACCGTTTAAATCATTAAAGAAGGGGGCTTTTGAGACAACCCCCTCCTTGGCTCATTGGGATAACCCTTGCTACCGAGTCCGATCCGGTCCCCTTCTTTCGATCACTTTCAGATAGGACACTTGGTACAATTGATGTCTCCTCAGATCTCATTAAGAAACACATAAGCCGTTTGAAATACTCACACTGCTCAGGAACGGACGGGATTCCGAATTCGATTATTAAACAAGCGTCCGACTTTCCCATATTGCTCAGTCATTTATTCTCGGTTTATATTTCAAAAGGATTCCTTCCTGAAACATGGAAAAGGTCAATTATCATTCCCGTTTTCAAGTCGGGATCTCGGTCCGATGTTAATAACTATCGGGGCGTGCACAAAACGCCGTCTCTAGCAAAACTTCTTGAAAGGATTATTTTCAATGAAATTCTTGACTTCTGTCTAGCTAATCGGCTTCTGAGCTATAGTCAGCATGGATTTTTACCTGAACGATCCTGCGAAACATGCCACTTGGCTTTTTTTTAATCTAATCACTTCTTTTCGTAATGAGCGGCAGTCAGTGGTAGTTATTTACTTTGATCTTAGCAAAGCCTTTGACAAGGTGCCCCATAGACGTCTTTTAGTAAAATTGGAAGCCCTCGGCATCCGGCCGCCTCTACGCGATTTCATCAGGTCATATCTGTCCAACCGATATCAGAAAGTCATGGTCGGTAATAGCTACTCGACACCCCACTCGATCACGAGTGGCGTACTTCAAGGAACGGTTCTGGGTCCGCTACTCTTCCTTCTGTACATCAATGATATTTCGACTGAACTCGGAAATTCGCAAACTTTTACTTATGCCGATGACCTCAAGTGTGTTTACTCATACTC